CAGGAAACAACAGATGCTGGAGAGGATGTGGAGAAACAGGAACAATTTTACACTGTTGGTGGGAATGTAAACTAGTTCAACCATTGTGGAAGATCGTGTTGCAATTCCTTAAGGATCTAGAACTAGAAATTCCATTTGACCCAGTCATCCCATTACTGGGAATATACCGAAAGGATTATAAATCATGCTGCTATAAAGACACATGCACAAGTATATTTATTGCAGCACTATTCACAATAGTAAAGACTTGGAATCAACCCAAATGTCCATCAATGACAGACAGGATTAAGAAAATGTGGTACATATACACCATGGAATACTATGCAGCCATAAAAAAGGATGAGTTCATGTCTTTTGTAGGGACATAGATGCAGCTGGAAGCCATCATTCTCAGCGAACTATCGCAAGAACAGAAAACCAAACACCACATGTTCTCACTCATAGGTGGGAATTTAACAATGAGAACACTTGGACACAGGAAGGGGAACATCACACACCGGGGCCTGTTGTGGGGTTGGGGGAGCGGGGAGGGATAGCATTAAGAGATATACCTAATGTAAATGACGAGTTAATGGGTGCAGCACACCAACGTGGCACATGTATACATATGTAACAAACCTGCACATTGTGCACATGTACCCTAGAACATAAAGTATAATAAAAAAGAAAAAACATAAGTGGGAGTTAAACAATGGGTATACATGTAGAGAAAGATGAAAACAATAGACACTGGGGGCTCCAAAAAGGGGTTAGGGAGGAAGTGGGGCAGGGGTTGAAAAACTACCAGTTGTGCAGTATGTTCACAATATGAGTGATGGGTTCAAGAGAAACCCAAACCTTAGCATTATGCAATATATCCATGTAACAAACGTGCACATGTACCCCTTGAACTTAAAATAAGAGTTGGAAAGAAAAAAAAATTTTTTTTATGTGTAAAAGGCTTTATTTGCAGGGGAGCAGGAATTTAATCAAAGAGGCCAAATCCCATGTCATCGTCTGACTCTTCAGACTCCTCCTTCTCATCTATCTTCTCCTCTGCTGCAGCAGGCGCGGAACTAGCAGCAGGCGCTGCAGAGCCTGGGGCAGCGGAGACGGCCACAGCCCCACCAGCAGGTACACTGGCAAGCTTGCCAATACCCGGGGCAATGACGTCTTCAATGTTTTTTCCATTCAGCTCACTAATAACCTTGTTGAGTCGGTCGTCGTCCGCCTCGATGCCCACGCTGTCCAAGATCTTCTTGATGTCCTTGGCACTGGGGGAGGAGTTACCCCCGAGGGCAGCCAGCAGGTAGGAGGCGACGTAGCGCATCGCGGCGGCGGCGGCGGCGGAGAGGCCTCACGCGTGCGACCTCGGCGGTGTCAGGGAGGAAAAGAAAAAGAAAAAATTTTTTAAAGATATATAATAATTGTGTGCTTTACTCTGTCTATGGGTGAGGAGTCATGCAGGATTTTGATAAAAGAAATGCTGTATTAGCTGATGTTTTAATATAATATGATGTCATATTTTATCGCTCTGGCTGCTGTGTTGAAGACAGGCTTTGGGGAAAGAAACAAGCATGGAATCAGGAAACCCACTTAAGAGGATTTTGCAGTAATGTAAGTGAGAGATGACATTGGTTCAAACCAAGCTGATATCAGCAGAGGTCATGAAAAATGGTAGCCTTCTGGATATATTTTGAGGTTAGAACCAGTCGGACTTCCTAAGAGTTTGCAAATGGGTAGGAAAGAAAGAGAGGGGTTAAGAACGACTCCAAGGATTTTGGCTTTAATTACTGAAGAATAGAGTTTCCATCAACTTAGATGGGAACACTGTGGACAGAGTCGTTTTGCAGGGGATAGATCAGGAATTTAATTTTGACCACACTAAATTTGAGACGTCGGGCCCGATGGCTCACACCTGTAATCCCAGCAGTTTGAGATGTCTATTTGACATTCAAGAAAAGATGAGTAGGAAGTTGAATATATAAACCTGGAGTTCAAGGGATATGTCTGTCCTGGAGTAATGAATGCATTTGGGAGTCATTGTCATAGGGATGGTATCTAAATCCTGAGACTGAATGAGAGCACCAAGCAAATGATTGTTCTAGTTAGAGTAGAAAAAGGTAATTCAAGGAGTGAGCCCTGGGGCATTTCAATATCAGTAGGTTGGGAAGGAGAGAAGGGATCAGCACAGAATAAGAAAGAGCAACTGATGTGGAATAAAAGGAAAACCAGGAATGTTTGGTATTCTGAAAGCTGAGTGAAGAAAAATCAAAGAGGGAGCAATTAAGTGAGTCAAATGCTGCCAATAGGTCAAATAAGATAAGAAAGGGGAACTGACCACTAGCTTAGCAAATTGTTAAAAATGGGTGAAGGGAGATCTTTCAGACAGAGGCGGTAGCATAACTGTGAGAGAATGCACAGTGATTTTCGGCAACTGCAAATAATTGAAAACAGATAAAGCATAAGGATATAGCAGGGACAGGAAAGGAAAGCAGCTGGATGGATACTTACAGCCTGGATCACAATGTCATACTAGACATTTTGGATTTACCCTAAAGGCTATGAGAATCCACAGGAAAATTTTATGTTGGGGAGTAACCGAGCCAGATTTGCATTTAAAAGATCAATTAGGCAGTGGTATGAAAAATGAGGAACAAATATGAAGGCAAAGAGGCTAGTTTAGAGGCTGTTAACAGTTGTCTAGGGAGAAACTCAGCCAGTGACCCTGGGGATCAAGATGGGAAGGTGACTCAGATAAATATTTAAGAAATACAATCTATAGGACTTAATGACAATTTTGACATGTAGGAAGGCGCTGTTAGAGAGACGAAGGAGTTACAAATTACTCAGGTTCTGGTTTGGGTAAGTGGGTAGGGAGTGGTGCCATTCACCCAGGAACTCTTGAGAAAGAGCAAGATTGCCAGAAAAAAAAAATCACACACTCACAAAGCGCAGAAAGCAGCCTAGTATCTTAGACTTAGTGCGTTCTCATTTAGTCCTGTTAGGGAGGTGGAAAAACAGGCTTAGAGAGATTAGGTAACTTACCCAAGGTTTACACAGCCAGAAAGTAAGGGTCCAGACGAGAACCCAGTTCCCAACTCCAAGCCTCCTCTTCATTCTACTTCTCCAAAACTGCTGTGCAAAAAACTTTGGGGCAAGGAGAAAGAGAACTTTTAAAAATGAATAGAGAAGGCCAACAGGTGGAGAAAAGAGGGGGTTGTCAGCTTTTTAGGGCAGGTTTCCTAAATATATTTTTTTCTCTAAATCTGCCTGGATGGAAGATACAGAAAATAAAAATGTTTACTTGCAACACATTTGGTTTTATTAAATTGAATGGTTTGTAACGTAAGGTAGGGAAGACACCAAGTTGGTGCTTTTTCAGAACCTCTCAATGTTTTGTTGGCTTGTCTTCATCATCTTAGGGTTATCCACAATAACTAACTACTGATGGGCCCACGGATAGTGCTGAATGGTCCATGCCCTGGTGGTGTTCACAGTCTAGTGAGGAAGATAAACACAGCATTACAATACAAGGTGTTCAAAACATCTAGCAACATCGTTTCTTTAAAAATAAACTTTTTATTTTGGAATAGTTTCAGATTCACAGAAAAGTAGCAAAGGTAGTACAGAGAACTGTCTTATACTCCTTATCCAGTTTCAGTTTCTCTTAATGCCATCATCTTACATCACAGTAGCATATTTATCAAAAATTAAGAAACCAACATTGGTACATTACTTTGAACAAAACCCCAGACTTTATTTGGATTTCACCATTTTTTAAAAAAAGTTCTTTTCCTGTTTTGCAGTCCAGTCCAGGATCCTCTGCTGCATATTGGTTGTCCTTAGCTCCTCAGTCTCTTCCGATCTGTGGCAGTATTTTGGTCTTTTCTAGTTTTTCTGAAAGCATCAAATTTGAAAAAAAAAATATGTTATACGGTACATGCATATAGTATTACTATATATAGCAGATTGAACCACCTTGATTACCTTTGCTGGGGTATATTAAAGGAATAGGTTTATTTGGTGAAAATCAGACATAAAACACCTGAGGCAATGCATCACAGATTATTGTATAAGGATTGCAGGAAATGCCGCATTAACACACTGTGTTATTGTAATTTCTGCATAGGACATTGAACTACGCAATACCAAGGAGAAGTAAACATTGAACATATCTGTGTTAGCCCATTCGCATTGCTAGAAAGGAATCCCTGAGTATGGGCAATTTACAAAGAAAAAAGGTTTATTGGCTCACTGTTCTGCAGGCTGTATAAGCATGGCATCCACATCTGTTTGGCTTCTGGTGAGAGACTAAGGAAGCTTACAATCGTGGTTGAAGGTGAAGGGGCAGCAGATGCATCACCTAGTGAGAGAAGCAGCAAGACAGACAGGGGAGGTTCTGCACTTCTGAACAACCAGCTATGGTGTGAACTACCAAAGGGAGAATCCACTCATTACCATGGGGAGGGCACCAAGCCATTCATGAGGGATACGCCCCCATGACCCAAACACCTCCCACCAGACTCCACTTCCAACATTGGGGATTATATTTCAACCCAAGAACTAGAGGGGACAAGCACTCAAACTATATTAATATCATGCATTATAATGTAATGCCACCAAATCATTGCTATGGGTAATTGCCTATGTTACTGAGCTTTATTGCTACCCTGTATGACGTAGTTTTACTGTCTGTAGTTTTACAGACATTAAAATATTTTAAAGTGTGTTTTCACTTATACATGAGTGCTAAATGATGAGAACACATGGACACATGACAGGCAGAACAACACACACTGGGGCCTGTTGGAGGGTGGGAGGTGGGAAGAGGGAGAGGATCAGGAAGAACAGCTAGTTGATGCTGGGCTTCATACCTGGGTGATGGGATGATCTGTGCAGCAAACCACCATGGCACATGTTTACTTATGTAACAAAACTGCACATCCTGCACATGTGCCTCTGAACTTAAAATAAAAGTTGGAAATAAAAAAATTAAAAATTAAAAAATAAATGACAAGTGCCTGACCAAGAAGTTCATTCTATTATTTCCCTTGTGTTAATAATAATTATTATTACATTACTGTGCTATTCATTCACATAATACACTACATTGAGAATAAAGGGGAGAAAACAAAGGATAAAAAACATTTTAAAGCTTTGATAATTAAAAGCAAAGGGTACTGTTACATAACTAGAAATACAGACCAATTAACAGAATAGAATATCCATAAGTAAAAACAAATAAATAAAGCCTTTGGATTTAAAAACCTGTTTCTCAGAAAAGCTGTCACTTCCTTTGTCCTCCAAAAAAGGACCTGAAAAGTCCCAATCCAAACTTTGGAAAACTATAGTTATGAGATGCTATAAATGTTCAAAGCAGTCAGAAGCAGAAGGATGAATGTGTCTTCTGACTGAATGTGTCATCTTAAATTGGTTGGAGAAAAGGTGAATAATTCAGTAAACAGTTGGGACAACCAGGTAGCCGTATGAAAAAAATAAAGTAGATTCATACTTCACACTGTACCTCACGATAAACCAGAGAGGAATCAATTATTTAAATGTAGAAAATAATAACAAAGAGCACTCGAAGGAAACATGGAAGAATTCTTTTCTAACCCGAGTTTCAGGGAAAGCCTTCCTAACCATGATTCAAGATTCAAATGCCATAAAAGATGGCCTAGAGTTCGATAAAAGACCAGCAGCCCAATAGAAAAATGGGCAAGCCTCATGAGTAGACAAAAGGCAGAAAAGGAAAATATAAATGGCCCCCAAAGACGCTCATCCTCATAATGAGAAAAATGCAGAGAGCAGCCCAAGATGGCTGACTTTGAGGATTGAGTGTTGGATGAGGAGAAGGTGTGCATAGCTGCTAAATTCATCACTCATGCTCCCCTATGGGAATTTAATGAGTATTCAATGATGTTTAATACTTAATAATGACACTCTCCTCAGCGAAGGGGCAGCACAAGCATTTGCCCAGCATAACATGGATCAATTC